ATCAAGAAATCCGGAGGTGTGGGCTGATAGGTTTATCAGTAAGAAGGCGTATGCCATGTTCCGGGAATGGTGGACCCAGAGGTCGCTCACTCTTGAGTGACAGTTCATAACCACAGACCTAAGCCAGCGCAATCCGAATGTCCTAAAGCACTTCACAGAGAGAAAAGGATAGAAATAGTTCACCAGCCATCCGCAAGATGCCAATGAATACCTCGTCAAGGAGTTTTAGTCCAATGTTGCCACATCAAAAAGGGTACAAAAGTGACGAATGTCCGGAACTTGAAAATTCGGTTTGATGACCAAGCATTGAACAAATATGTAGGGTTAGAGGAGGTTGAGGCGGTGCAATACCTAGAGAAGCTAGCCTTGGGTGAGGTAGTTCGCCCATGGCTAGCTGAGATACTTGCTATTCCGGGGACAACACCTGTATGGCTCATAACAGGAGTGCCAATTGTCAGAGCCACCCTTAACTTTGAAGCAAAAGGGTGGCAAACATTCGTGTGCAGCCGTCTTGACCCTTGCCAGCATGAAAATGTCCTTCCAATTTCCCGAGCAGTATTGGTAGCTTCCATCATGGCAGGATATCCTATTAACGTAGGGTACTTAATGTCCTACAACATCTCCAATGCAGTCAAGAAAGAAGAAAGATCTTATCCCTACCCCAACTTCCTCACTGAGTATTTCAAAGATCAAGGGGTAGAGCCGAGACATTTTGATGTGGAGGTGAAGGCTAAAAAGCCTTTCTCATGGTATCACCTCCAGGGAGAGGACAACCCTGAAATCAAGGGTAAAGCCACTACCTCCACTAGCCAGTCTGAAGAGCTAGGGATTGTGGCCACTGGGTCAGTTGCCGAGCCCTCCACAGCAGGCGGTACTTCTATCGGATCTGCAGCCATGCCTCCTCCATCTTCCGGACCATCTGTCTCAGTGCCACTGTTAGTGCCTTCATCTTCCACTTACCCTGAGACTGAACCGAGGGTTTCCCAAACACTATCCAGTCTCAATAACTGGATGTAGGCAGCTACCACAAAGCTGTCTGCCATATCCCAGTGCAGTGGCAGCACAGTCTTCAGCCCAAGCAGCGCTTCAGGTACCTCTATCAGTGGATGACTCATTGAAGAAGATTTTGGACGACCAAAAGAAGATTCTGGACGACCAGAAGAAGATCCGGGAGACTTTTGATACACATGGGAAGGTAATCAAGGATTTGGGGAAGCAGGTGAAGAAGCTGCGAAAGACTCAAAAGGAGTCGGTCAAGAAGTTGAGCAAAGAGGTTGAGAAGATTGCACATGCAGGGAATTTGCCAATGGACCTTCTCATGGAGGAGACAGTCCCAGCATCACATGCAGCGGAGCCTGAGGCACCAGGGGCAGCAACCAGCCAGTCTGAGGAGCCAGTCACAGCATCACACACTGTGAGGAGCTGATTGAGATGCTCAGCAACCTCGTAGTCCCCCAGTCAGAGGATGTGGAGATCCAGTTAGAGGAGACAGAGGTTGTTGATGTTGAGGATCCAATGCAAACAGAAACCACATAGGGAGTTTTCTCTACTCTCTACCCCTTTTCCCTGTTCTTATTTGTTATGAGCATTGAGGATAATGCTATTTTTCATTTGGGGGGTGGTCCATTTTGATTTGATGACATTTGGTATGTAATAACCATTACACTATTTTTCTTTATCTTTATTTTCACTTTTGGTATGTATATATTTTTACCATTTGATGTATATATTCATTTCCATTTATGTAAATATTCGCTATACCTCAATTTGTATATATTAAGTTTAATTTTCGTAATTTACTTCATAAATTCTTTCGTTATTTTCCCTTAGTAGCATAGCTTCTTATTTACTTTAGTAGCTTCTTTTTTATTTGTTAGCTTCTTTTTAAGTTTTGTGTTGATAATAAGCCTTTGGTTTTCTTAATTACAGGGTTCTTTCCAAAGGTGGATGTTGTGTGAACCGGGTGGCTCTTCCCAACGATGGATGGCGTGACAACCTTCTTAAGGGATTGAGTCCGTTTTCTTTATGTTTTGGTGTATATAGTAGTAATGAATAAAAGTGTCTCAAGCAGGCTTCACTTGGTACTAACACATTTACCTTCGACCTTATGGTTAGAAACAAGTTGATTGGCAAAGAATAACTCTAGTTGTGACCTTTAGACTCTTGTGTTGACTAAAACAATCATCGAGTGGTTTCTTTGAGCCAATTGTGATGTTCAATCTTAGCTAGGGTTGTTGTGGTCCCTCAACTTTGTTCTCTTTAACAATCCAGCAACTTGAGAGGTGAGGTATTGAATTGCAAGTCCAAGTTCCGTGCCAATAAGTCTAGAACTTGTCCGGAATGTTTGTCTAGGCGAAGTTCTAAGTTTAGCTCGACTTGAGAAATGATTGTAGGCTCTCCTTGATCCAATTTGAAACTTGAAAGCTTCCGTAGCCTACCAGTGATATCCCTAGTCAACCCCTTTGAGCTGAAGCCCTTTTTCTTTCAATAATCACGTTACAAGCCTTTATCCGTTCTATAATGACCCTCTCTTGGCATCCGATCTTTCCTTGGCATTCTTGATAGACAATTGGCAAAAGCATAAGTTTTGGGAGAGACGAGGAATGTGAAAGTGATAAAAGGTACAAAGAACAAAAGAAATGAAGAAAAGGGAAGGCAAAGAAAAGAAAGAAAGGCCAAAAATAAATATGTCAAAAAGAAAGTGAATAAGGTAGAAAGTTGAAGGGATTCAAAGAAAGTAAAGATGAAAGGCATGGAATGATTAGAAAAGGAGAAAAATGATTTTCATGAGCAAGAAAGAGAGACAGTGTGTCTCTCTAGTTCCCTGAAGGAAGAAAAAAATGACTCAAAGAGTCAAGAAAGTATGAGCTAAAATGAGAAAATGGAGTGCTTATGGAAAGATGAAACCATCATATGCCGATAAGTCCTACCTTGATCCAAAAACCTTCATTACATTCCAACAAAAGCTCTATATGATTTCGAGTTGAGTGAGCTTACATTAGTGGTGATTTACATAAGGGTCAAGCTTATGGTACTTAGAGCCGGACTTGTGTCATTCTTTTGAGAGAGATGAGCGTACTTCTTCACAATCCTTGTTTTGAGTGTTACACTCTAAACTGAGATTTGCTTATGGAGAGTAGAGGAGGAGTTTGGGTTCCACAATGACCTACGTAATAGAGCGAGCTTCCTTGGTGAGTTAAGTCAACTCTTGATGCTCTAGTGTCATATTAGAACTATGGTACTCAAAATGTCAAAGCATGGTGGTGTTGATAATTCATTTGTGTTGAGGGTAATTGCTAGTCCCAATTGATGCATGATTGATTCACCTTAGGGCAGCTGAAATATCCTTCTATTTTAGTGGAGGTGGGAATTACCTTATTTGCTTGAGGACAAGCAAAAGCTTAAGTTTGGGGGAGTTGATAAGTAAGGATTTTAACCTATTATTTGCTCTCTTTTACTTGTGTTTTAGGCCAAAAATGCTTGAAGGTATTCCCATAAACTAATGAAATGTGCTTGCTTGCAGGAATTATTCAAAATGAGTCAAAGGAACCTTAATCAACTCATAAAGGAGTCAAAAGTTGAACAAAAACCAAGGTTGGGGAAAGAGTTCCGAAGCGCGGACCGCACAAATATTGTGCGGCCGCGGAAGCCAGGATGCGGCCGCGAGCATAATTACACGGTCCGCCCAAGGGAGATTCAGAGAGTGTGATTTTTGGGCTAAAGATGAGCGTGGACCACACTAGAAATGTGCGTCCGCAAAAGTCCATATACCACTGCGATTGAAATTATGTGGACCGCGATGACTGAGGTTCAGAGAGCTTACAATTTGGGCAAAAGAGAGAAGTGCGGTCCGCGTCAGAATTGAGCGGCCACGGAAGTCCCTTGTGCGGCCGCGAAAGTCCGTTATGCGGCCGCGATCAAAATCATGCGGTCCGGGAAAGCTCAGCTCAACCCAGATCCGAAATTGAAAAACGTGGACCGCAGTCAGAATTGTGCGGCCACAAAAGCAAGAGTACAGCCGCACTTAGAATTATGCAGCCGCGAAACCTCTGTAGGGTATTTTTGTCAGATATTTTCAGCTTAGTATAAATAGAACTTTTTGTCATTTTTTGGTTATGTTATGTATTAGAGGAGCACCTGAGACGGCTGAGTTTTCTGCTTTGGAAAATTTTGTACTAGATTCATCTTTTAACATTAGATTTTCATCCTTTAATCTAGTATTATGAACTTTATCTTCATTTCATCTTTAATTTCTATTATTTCCATGAGTAGCTAAACTCATAGCTAGGGTTGTGACCCAACCCTAGTGTGGGTATTTGATGGGTATTTGATTTTAGGGCTTGAATGTGAATGGGTTAGTGATATTTAGCCTAGTTCTTGCTAGAACTATGGAATTAATAGTTGCAAACATTGATTCATGCCTTTATGACTTAGTCTCTACTTGAGAAAGAGGGACTAAGTCTAGGAAAACTATGCTAACAAGGAATTGGGATGAACTCAAGAAATTGATAGCCCCAATTAAAGGGTTAAACCTAGAGATAGTAATACCCGACTTGAGCTAATATCACTTGAATTGCATGAATACCCATTTGGACTTGAGAAAGCCAAATTGCGCAAAATTACTCAAACTACCGAGAGGTATAGAGTGAGTACCCGGGTGTGATAGCTATATACGACCCCAACTAATAAAGCTTGCCCTAGATTTTTGCTACCCGTTGGATATCCACCTAGGTAGAAGTCACGACCCTTGTCTCTTTAAACGGTTGAAAAACAACTACAAAAATATTATAGTTTCAATTATTGCAATCTTTAGAGTAAAGTTAGAAGTAGAAATCAAACCCAAAACTTGTGGAAGTGTAATAAGACTCAAAGCCCGCATTTAGCTTAGATATAAACCTAATTCCAATTATTAACTCCCTGTGGATTCGATCCCGACCTAGTTGGGTTAAAACTGCATCGACCACCCTCTCTACTCAATAGTAGTGTAGGCTTGGACCCGATCAACGACCTCTGTTGTTTGCAGTATAATGTGTCTTGAAATTCCTAGCTCCGAATGGACTTTGGTGTTGTGTAGGTGTGATATTCACATGTAATGAAGTAGATTCAAGGTTCAGTTTATTAATTGGCCTGAACTCCCTTTGTTTCTCTTCCTGTATTAGGAGGGAAAAAGCTTGTGCGAAAGATGGCAGGGGTTTCATCATCAAGATGCTTCCTAGCACTATTTTATAGACCTCATTTAGGCCCATCAAAAATTGAATGAGGCGACGATCCTCTTCTGCTTTGTGCATCGTCTCTTTTGATCCACATGTGCAAATGCAGATGCACTGAGACTTAGCACTCAGAGTGTTTAATTTTTCCCACAGTCTCTTCATTTGTGTGTAGTAGGCAGTAGTATCCAATGATCCCTGAACAAGGTCATTGATCTCTTTTTGGATCTGATATAACTTCGCTTCATTTGTTTGATCATATCGGTCTTCCAGCTCCCTCCATAACTCGACAGAGTCATTTACATACTCAGCGCTATCAGAAATCTCCTTTGCGAGAGAATTGAGAATCCAGGAGGTCACCATAGTCATATTTTTCCCATTGGCGAAATTGAGCTGAATTAGGGCTAAGTTTCCTACATTCCCCATTTATAAACCCTAGTTTGTTCTTGACTGACAAAGATCGTAATACACTTCTTCTCCAAGATCTATATCCAATTCCATCGAATGGAACCGACACTAGCATTGCTCCAGGACTGTCCGATGGATGAATATACAGAGGACTGCTTGCATCGATGATCGGCTGGTCATTTCTGGTCGCAGCGGATGTTGTTTCTTCGCTTTGATTTATGGCCATTAGAAAGGTTCTAATTGATGAAATTAATCAATGTATCAACTGATTTTGTGAGTAGAAAAATCGATTTCAGTGAAGAAATCCGATTTGTATGAAAGCTTCAGCATGAAAAAACCCTAGAACTCGGAAATGAAAGAAGAGGATTTTGAGATACTAAAAGAAGAACTCCGGCAGACTTCGAGTAGATACGGTCAACCGGGCTCTGAAACCATATTGAGATTAGCTTGGGACTGAGAAAATCAAGCTCATGCAAGACCTCCAATGGAGGTTCTAGAGACTTCTGAGAAACAGAGATAGAGAGAGAAAGAGTAAAAGATGGAAGATGAAAATAAAATTCTATTTTCTGATTACTACTGCAAAAAAATGTAAAGGGTGTATATATGTACATGTACACGTATATATGACAGCTAAGACAAAAGACAGCTATTAACTACTCTGACTGTGTTGCTAACTGCTATACTAACTACTAACTCTACAGCTGTACAATACAATACAAGTACATATAATATAATAATTAAGTGCTATTCTCGATAGAAATGGAGGAAGAAAGAATATATACTACACCTTGCTTGGAAATTCCTTTGAGAAGGAAGATTGAGAGAAGTCGCCACATTTTACCTCTGTTGCAGAAGTTAGAAACCAAAGATGAAATATGAGAATGAGGACCAACTTTCGAAGTTGAGAGATTTAATCACAGAAACCATAGAGAAGTAATAACAGAATATGGATTTGGGATTTGACTTTAGAACTCCGAAACTGTAAGAGCTAGAATGCTCGATATGGAAGAAAGATCGAGAATTGAAAAAAGAAGAAGAGGAAATAAGATGAAGCAAACAAAGTAAAGGAAAACCGAAAACTCTAAAACAGGGGATGCCGCTGTCACGACCCCAGTTCACCCTCCATGAATATGTCGTGATGGCACCTAGTTCCTACAACTAGGTAGGCATAACAGTGCGGAATAACAAATTTACATTTGCGGAATAATAAATTAAAACTGAACATACAGAAATAACAATTGTATATAAGGCCACTCAGCCTATACAACTCAAAATATGCGGAAGTCTAAAACTAAATCCCAAAACCCGGAAACTCACGGGAAACACAGGCTAATGGAATGTAGTAAACTGCTCTACACCAGAATGTCTAAACAACATGAAGGGAAAGAAAAGGAACTATCTGCTAAAGCCGGAATAGAGTAGAGACTCCTGGTCTGCAAAAGTAGCAGATATACCTCAAGTCTCAGCTAGGACTCTCCACCACGAGGATGATACGTCTAGGAGGAAGTACCTGGATCTGCACATGAAAAACATGCGCAGGAAGGGCATGAGTACACCACAGCGGTACTCAGTAAGTGCCAAGCCTAACCTCGGTTGGGTAGTGACGAGGAAGGTCAGGGCCTTACTGAGGTAACATAATAAATAATGAGATAACAGAAATAGTTTAAATAAAGTCTACAGCGAGAATCTAAACCAGGTAAATAAGGAAGAACAATAATAGAAAGCAAAGGTAACAATACACGAAAAACTGCCCTTACAAGGAATAGTAGCCGGGGGATCTCTTGGTATCCCGAGGATCTCTTGGTATCCTCATCATCAACACTTGGGATCTCTCAGTATCCCGAGGATCTCTTAGTATCCTCAATAAGTAAGTCGGGGATCTCTTAGTATCCCGAGGATCTCTTGGTATCCTCAATAAGTAAACCGGGGATCTCTTGGTATCCCAATATATATATAGAAACACATGTGCCAGGGATCTCTTGGTATCCCGCACCCTCAGTCCAGAATATCTCAAGTACAGAGGGATCTCCCAGGAAGCCGTCCCATAGTCCCAAATTAAACACACAACAACAACGGTTCCTAAATCTCGGAACAATGCTAAAAATCAGGACACGAAGTAGTAAATTATAGCCTAACATGCTTCACAAAGTACAAATAGCACAGTTAAAGCAAATAAGCAGGTAAGCCAGCTAAACATGAGTCTCTAAGCTAGCACAGGTACAAACTTACAGTTAAGATGAACAAGTAAACAAGAAAGCTCAATTTAAACACTTCAAGTAGAAACGGATTTACAACAATTAGCTCAAGTACGCGCTCGTCACCTCACGTATAGGGCATTCAAATATTCAAGATCATATCCTAAGGGAAAGGGAAAAGGTCCCCCACACAAAGTTAGACAAGCCACTTACCTCGAACCGGCTCAATATCAACTAGAAATCACGCTCTTGCCACGAGTATCCGACTCCAAATGGCTCAAATCTATTCAATTCAATTACACATTGTAAATAACATCGCAAACACCTGGTTTTGCTAATAAATTCAAAGGTATGAGTAAAATTAGGTGAAATGACCAAAATGCCCTCCAGGCCAATGCCCCGGAATCAAATAATTTTCACATTTTCAGAACCCTCGTACTCTCACGAGTCTAACCATATAAAAATCTCCCAAATCGGAGGTCAAATGCTTACTTAAAACTCCATAATTTAGCCAATGAAGTTTTACCCCAAATTATCCAATTTTGATCCTAAATTCGAATTCCAATGATACATTTAACTATATAATGATGAAATATAACTAGAAGGGATTAAGGAAACGTTACCCAATAGTCTTCTCTTCAAAACCCACTCAAAATCGCCTTTACCCGAGTTCTCAATTGATTTTTGTAACTTATGAACTTAAACCCTCAAAATTTCTATTTCTGCCCAGGGGTTCCGCTTCTGCGGTCTTAAACCACACCTGCGGTAGCCGCTTCTGCGAAATACTTACCGCTTATGCGGTTTCTCACCAATGACCCAGGGCCGCATCTGCGACTTATACCTCGTAGGTGCATATCCGCTTCTGCGGTCAAACTTCCGCACCTGCGGAAACTGAAGGGAGCCCAAATTCCGCTCCTGCGATGGGATGGCCGCTTTTGCAGCTCCGCTTCTGCAGTTCCCAAGCCGCAGAAGCGAAAATACCAGAAGAGAGAAAAAACCAGCTGCTGCAACACTTAAATAATTCTTCCGTTAACCACCCGAAATCATCCCGAGGCCCCCGGGACCTCAACCAAAAGCACCAATACCACCTAATACCTTATTCAAACTTGCACCAATCCTTAAAACACCTAAAACAACACCGGAAACCCGATTAAATCAAAGATTCAAGCCTAAGAACTACAAGTTTCCTCCATATACGCTTTCGATCAAAAACCTAACCAAAACACGTCCGAATGACCTGAAATTTTGCACACACATCCCAAATGACATGACGGAGCTACTGCAACTTCCGGAATTCCAATCCGACCCTCGGATCAAAAACTCACTATCGGACCGGAACTTCAAAAATTGAAATTTCGGCATTTCAAGCCTAAATGAGCTACGAGCCTCCAAAATACATTCCGAACACGCTCCCAACCCCGAAATCACCTAACGGAGCTAACGGAACCATCGGATTCCCATTCCGAGGTCGTCCTCACACTGTTGTGATTACGGATCATTTTTCAACACTTAAGCTCTCATTTAGGGACTAAGTGTCCCAAAACTCTCCAAAACTTAACACCGAACGTCCCGGCATACCAAAATAGCAGAAATGAACTTAGGGGAAGCAGTAAACGGGGAATCGAGGCGTAAATTCCAAAAACGACCGGCCGGGTCGTTACATCCTCCTACACTTAAACATTCGTTCGTCCTCGAACGAGCATAGAGAACATACCTGAGGTAGAGAAAAGATGGGGGTACTGGCTGCGCATATCCTGCTCGGTCTCCCAAGTCGCCTCCCCGGCCGGCTGACCCCGCCACTGAACCTTCACTGAAGCGATGTTCTTTGACCTCAACTTCCTGATCTGACTCTCCAAAATAGCCACTGGCTCCTCAACATAGGATAGATCCTTGTCCAGCTGGACTGAACTGAAATCCAACACATGCGACGGATCCCCGTGATATCTCCGGAGCATCGAAACATGAAATACCGGATGAACTCCGGCCAAACTGGGAGGTAAGGCATGCTCACAGGCAACCTCCCCAACTCGCCTCAAGATCTCAAAAGGGCCAATAAACCTCGGACTCAACTATCCTTTCTTCCCAAATCGCATGACGCCCTTCATAGGCGAGACCCGAAGCAGAACCCGCTCACCAACCATATATGAAACATCACGGACCTTCCTGTTCGCGTAACGCTTCTGCCTGGACTGCGTTGTACAGAGTCTATCCTGAATCACCTTAACCTTCTCCAGTGCATCCTGAACCATCTCTGTGCCCAATAGCCTGGCCTCGCCCGGCTCAAACCAACCCACCGGAGATCTGCACCTCCTACCATATAAAGCCTCATACGGCGCCATCTGAATGCTGGACTGATAGCTGTTATTGTAAGCAAACTCCGCTAGTGGCAAGTAATGATCCCAAGACCCTCCGAACTCAATCACACACGCATGGAGCATATCCTCAAGAATCTGAATAGTGCGCTCGGACTGCCCGTCCGTCTGGGGGTGAAATGCTGTGCTCAACTCCACCCGAGTGCCTAACTCCTGCTGCACGGCTCTCCAGAACCGGCAATGTAAACTGAGTACCTCTGTCTGAAATGATAGAAACTGGAATACCATGCAAATGGACGATCTCCCTGATATAAATCTCCGCCAACCGCTCCGATGAATAAGTGGTACACACAGGAATGAAATGAGCGGACTTGGTCAGCCGGTCCACAATAACCCAAATGGAATCAAACTTCTTCAAGGTCTGTGGAAGTCCAGATACAAAATCCATGGTGATGCGCTCCCATTTCCACTCCGGAATCTCTATCTGCTGGAGCAACCCACCCGGGCGCTG